TAGTGACTTTGAGAGGTTTTCCAGAAGTATTAACAATCATGTCTGGTCCATTTGCCTTATTTACGTGCAGCTCGTTCAGGGCATCTTCTATTTCATCGATAGTGAAATTGATACTGTTCAGAAGAACGTAATCTTGTCGTTCTGCTTTCCCAACGTTGGCGTTTCGTGTGAAAACTGATTGAAAATATATGTTAAACAATTCAGCTTTTTGAGCGTCTGTATTGGCTATTTTTTGATCTAGGAAGATCTCTGAAGGGATCATGCGAGACTTGGTGATCGATTCCAGATATCGTTGTATTTCGCTGAATTTCCCATTCTCAAAAAGCATTTTTTCGTGGAGATACTGGGGTAGGTTTTCGCTTATTTTTAAGTTGGAGTGTATTTAATTTCTTTATATGGTTGGAGGAGTTGCTTCCCACCCAAGGAGCTAGTTCAGACCTGTGTTTTGTAGTGATAGGTAGAAGGTCCTGTAGTATTTCGTATAACCACTCGTACCAATGATCGAGCATCAGTTCAACGTTGCTCAAGCAAAATGGTTGGAAGGGGTGTTGACAAATGAAGGGGTGTTGACGGGTGTACCTTAGCGCTGCTGGATGCCTGGTTGATGATCTTCCAATTAAACTCCGACTTACCACTATCATTAGCACACTGCCTTATATGCTGTCCATATGATGTATTCTCCTATCGGTGATCTCCAATCCTTTTGATGAGATGTCGGAAAGTTTGGCGAGCATAGATGGATATGCACTAGAAACTTAAAGCAAGTCTATACACCACTTTTGATTTCAGTTCACTAGACAAGGAGGATTTTAAAGAGGGCATAAACGCTTTTATTTTCCTCGTGAAGATTATCTGCGCATTGGTGATATCGCGCATTTTTTTGCTAATGTGTGAAAGTGGTTCCCCCGATATTGAACCATCAAGATGGGTAGTGAGTCGCTGCTATAATCAAAGGGCTTCCTTTTCTCAGCCATCTTTTTGTTTTTGCCCTCCCCCCGATGATCTTTTCAAGGGCTTGCGATGCAACCGGCGACGACCAACTTTCCGGATATTGGTTAACCAACCATTTTTACGTTTGATTTCCGTAGCTTTATAATAACCTTCCCATGTAGACGTACTACGAAAGACCCGGTGAACAGTTCCTTCAATCACATTTCTCTTGTACGCAAGGGGGCGCAAGTTCTAAAATTTAGTATGGTACCTGTATCTGTTGGTTTTTGATACCATCCACAGTTAATTTTCCTGTTCTTGTCAATACTATTTTGTAAATCCAAAAAAGCCGATGCGTTTGGTGTCTCTATTGTGATTTGTAAATTTGGATGTAGTAAGTTTGCTGTCCGTAGCACCTCCTCGGGATCACTCTTCACTGTGCTCACTCTATCGTCAACTGGGAAAAACAGGAAAAAACGTTTGCAGCACGAACATTTTTTCTCCCTTATCGCGATGCATTTTCTACAGTACTAGACGGTTTCATTGATATTTCGATACTCATCATTTGATCTATCACCGCATTTTACGTGATTTCAGTTCAAACATCCTTAACCTTCCACACCTGTACGTGACCTTCTGATTGCACTCGGGACATTTTAAATTATGAGCTTTTTCGGGCATAAATTTTTTGGGATTTAAGCTCGATATGGCAATTTTGTACTGCTTCAGCCAAGTATGTGCAATAATAACGGCAAGAGATGCCCCGATTGCCAAACTATCTTCCTGAATGTACAATGTTTCGTTGCACTTGAAATTGACTTGACTCACTGCCATGTTCAACAGTCTCTTCGTGGTTTTCCTAGTCATTGATGGTGGTTTCTCTTGCTCATACAATTTTCTTAGAGCTATGTCTATTGCTTCATTGAGTGAAACATTTGTATACAAATTCTTCACATCCAGAGATATCACATTTTAATGGGCTCAAGAATAAGGCCCTCTAAGATTTCTCTCGCTTCTAGTGAGTTGGTTTCGATGTTTGCGCCCTCAGCTTAGTTTAAAAGTTTTGCAAGAACTTTGTTCAGGTTATTATAAGTGGTATCAGGCAATGAGAGGACCGGTCTCAATGGGGTGTTCTCTCTATGCACCTTCGCCAACCCGTTGGCCTGGCGGGATACCCACCAGTAGATATCATCCTTGTTTAAAGATTCTTACTTGTTTCGTCTTTTTTCCTCATAGCCAACAGTTCCTTGTTGATATTTTTGTTGATATTTTTTTCTATCTTCATAACAATCGAGTCACTTTTTCATCTGCTTACGCTGAATTGATTTGATTCTAACAAATCAGATAACTTGTTCTGGTATGTATCCTTCCTCATTAAACAAAAACCAACACCCTTGTCAAACGGTACCGCAACTAATCCATTACCCTTCAGATACTTTCGGACGTTCTCAACGCCCTTGTCAGATGGTGTTTTTTTCTCCCTTTGAGCATAAGCTTTTGCCACTGCTTCGATGTCAAAAAGGGCCTCCCCAGGGACTTTATGATTTCTGAGATCAGAAAGAAAGATGTCAATTTCGGCGAGAAAGTGTATCTCATTAAATTTATCACTGACAGTACGGTGTGAGGAGGTCACTTCATCGATGCGAACACACTGTGTTTTGTTTTTCAATTATGAATGAAGCCAAACTTTAGCAAGGCCAGTATGCCAACTTTTCTCTCAAGAACTTCCAAGAGAATATCATGGTCAATGGTGTCGAAAGCTGATGAGAGGTCATGGGTAAAAATAATACAACGTTTTTTTCTATGAATAAAATTGAGTAAGTCTGACGAAACTTTCACTAAGGCCGTTTCAGTGGAGTGGAAAGCACGGTAGGCAGATTGATTGGGATCTAAAAATCTGTTAGTTGACAAATAGCTGTAAAATTGATTAAAAATCAGTTTTTCTAAAAACTTTGAGAAGAAAGTAAGATTTGTGAGCGGACGATATGACGCGAAAGTCAGAACTCAAGTTAAATTTCTTGAGGTGAGGGAGAACAATTCCATTTTTAAGGAAGGGCAGAAATATGCAAGAGTCAATGGATAGATTACTCAAGAAAGTAACAATTGGAATCCAGCATCTGCTATAAAATTTCAAAGCTTTAGTGGGAATTTGGTCACCAGAAAAAGTTGCATTAGAAAGATTTAACGATGCTTTCTTCATTTCATCAACCGTAACATTTTTGAAATTTGACAAATTAATTTTAGGTGAAGGATTACTAAGCATTGTGACAGAAGTCGATTGTTTCAAATCACGGATTTTTATCTATTTTTTCGATCAAGAAATCATCGAACTTTTTCGCTTAACCAAAATCAGAATAACCAGAAGGCACTTTTCGTTCAAGCTGAGCCATTTGTTGGATAAAATGAACAATTTTGAATCCAACGGGTCATCTAGTAACGTCTGGTAAAACTTTTCACGTTTCTTATAATGTAGAACATTGTAGGAATGTGAGGCCTCCATAAAATTATTTGTCAGTGACTAATTTTGATTGCCTGTAAACTCTCTCAAACTTGAGTTGGAGTCGCTTGAAGGTTCTCAATTCATCATCGAAGTAGGCACAACCATGAGGAACGAGATCTAGAGTTTTATTGGGAACAAACTTTTCGAGTGCTTTTTCGAACACATCATTCATTCCTTCAAAGCCACTATCAACGCTTTCAATTTCGAGTTATGAATAGTTTGAGAACAGGAACTCTTCAAACTCATATGCATTAATAGATGCCCACTTGCGAAAATTATGAGTCTTTCTAGAACACTTCCGATAGGAACAAGGAACATGGAACATTGAAGGATATAGCAGAATGATCTGAAGGTATAGAATGATCAGGTAGAAAAGCAACCAATTTCAGCGTTTGATTCGATAAAACTAGATCAAGTGTATGCCCACTTTTGTGTGTCCGGAAGTTAACATGTTTTTTCAACTCAAACTCGTCAATGAAATACTGAAACTGGACAAATTTGTTGCAACTGGTATCGTCAGCATGAATGTTGAAATCTCCAAGAAGTACAAATTTTTGGTACGATAGATGAAGGAAGCTCAGAAAGAGATTCTGTGAATGTTTCCAAGAATAAACTAAAATCAGCAGCAGGGGGTCGATAAACAACACGTCATCCAACTTTACAACCAGTCACAGTGGTTGAAAACATATTACTTTCCATGCGTAAAGCATCACTAGACTGTATGATATGAATACGGAATGTGGTAAGCTTAATTAATCATAGGCCACCGCCACGTGTAACCTACCTTGGAAAACAGAAGTATGAATAACCAGGTGGACAACATTGAACGCGTAAATAGTCGTCAGTAGCATTTGAAACAACTCATGACTCTGTGATTATAGCAATGTCGATTTAATTACCAACAATATGACTGAGTTATTTCAGATTCATAACTCTTTTTCTCGTTCACGTTCACGAAGAAGTTAGTCTCTGAGTTTTTAGCCACTCCCTTTTGCTATACGAGCTTGCCATGAATGGCCAAAAGTCACAACTAGCGGCGGGACTTTGTCGCTTCTTCGTAATATTTTCCTCTCCTATGGAAATTAGCAATAGAATAATCCGGAATACCAAGTTTATCAAAAACTTCGTCAATTTTTTTTGTCTTTTGATGACCGAGTTCAAATTATGCCCATGGGCTCAGTAATCCCGAGGATTAGAACGTTGCGGTCCACAGTACTTGTAGTTGCAGCTTGAACAGTTGTGGTGACAGGTGCATTTAATGCTTCAGTGTCTCCAGACTGGGAGTTCTCAGTAACAGTGATCTCATTTCTCTGAGTAATTATCTTCTTTATATCTGAGAGTTCATCTTTGATTGATCCCAAATGGAAAGCAAACAGAGAAAATCCCCCCAACTGCGAAATCGTTTCACGAAGTCAGCATTTCAAACTCCCCTTGCCCTGACCACTGATAAGCTTGTTCAACTTTTCTTCATCATCACAATATTTCAAATCAGAAATAGTTGGGTAGAGCCCTTTTCTTTGAAAGAGGTTGCCACTTTTACCCCCGTCCTCATCAGTCATTTTCTGAAACTATTTAATAAGTTTATCACAACAATTAAAACATGTTTTATGTAGCCCACGAAAAAAAACTGCATGTTGCGTGCTTGCCAAAACTGAAACGCTGCTCGTAGCGAACCCACCAACAGGTAGCTTGAATGAAGTAAAAATAGCACTGAGCACGTCAGAAACGTAAATTTGAAGGGTCGGAATTTTCTTGAATGAAATTTGTCAAAAAATCGAATACCCCCATAACATTTCTGAGATATACAAAAACCGCCATTTTTGAACGAGAAAGATTGACTCGTAAGTAACAGCCAAATAGGAGACGAAAAACAGTACAAGCACAGAGAGAAATTGGATTGAGAAGGAAGCTTCCGGGCGTGACAAATTAACTTCTTACGAACTTTTAAAGTAACATGGCTATCTTATAAAATATCGGACGAAGAGCTATTTTAATTGATTACTACTGCTTTTGATCCGATTGTGAATCAAAAACTAGTCAAACATCGCACGATGGAACAACTATATGCGTTAGTTCAAATTTTGAGTCAGAAAAAAACAGATTTGGGATAATACACAAATGGTTCCGCTGTACCGTGCTATGTGATTTCAGCTAATAGAAAAAAAAACTAGTAGTTTCTTTCCTAGTCGATCAAGGGAGGTTATCTTGCAAGGTCTTGCAAAATGAAGGTTATCTTGCAAGATAGAGGTTATCTTGCAAGAATCTTGGAAGAGGGAGGCTATCTTGCAAGAATCTTTTTAGTTTTTAATGAGCCTAAATTTTTGTCAGTTTAATAGTTTCAAAAAACTACGAGACCAGGCTGTATATTTTGTGAAATCTGAAAGGAACCCCCAACAAAGACGGTCCTTTTGTTCTTATATTGTTCGTTCATTCTTTTTGTTCGTTCCGACAAAATTTCGACATGTTGGAAATCAGGAACATACAGACAAAAAATTGTGTGCCTAAGATTTTACGCTTTGAAATGATTGTTTGCATAAAAGTTCCTTCACAAGCTTGACTATTTCAGCTCAAAACCTTCCATAAAAAATACTCTCGTTAACAAGGATATTTAAATTTTTGAAGTCTTTATTAACCATGGATAAAATTGTCAACCATTGTTCCTTGATATTGTGGGTTTCACCTACTATAAAACTGAGACTTAGCAAGCTAAGCTCTGAAAAAAATTCAGCTTGTGTAACGAGCCACCTAGTGTAACATTCGCCCAAATACTACACAGCGACGGAGCGTAGGAAAAGTACCTATTAACGACTGGCAGGCGTCAGTTACCTTAATCCTACTCGTTTTTCACCGTCTCGACCTTGCCAGTTGATTTTCTGGTCTGTCTAGGGCTAAGTAAAAAGTTACCATTTTCAGGCCATCAGTCAAACGACTTTTGATCAGCTTTCGTTTACATGCGAACACAACCACATAGCTGAGTCTCGGATCCTCAGACTACGTGATTGTCATTAAAAACACGGCTCGAACAACCTATTTTAACATATTTTTGTGTGACAGTTCTATATTAAATCCATTGGAGATGGATTGACCCTTTCCTTTTTCTAGCTACTCATGTTCTGAAATATCAAACAATAACGGTGTTAATTAAGAGATCTATGACATTCCAGCAGCTATAAAGTTAGTTTATACAGTCCTGTGCCAGTCGGTCATATTTGGAAGTTTGACCTTGAGAGAAGAAAAAAAAACACTTAATTTTGGGGTGAAATTTAATTTTTCAAAAATTCGAATGGAGCCTGTCATGCACGATTTTCTCGCGATAACTGAAAGTCAAAAAAGAGAAGTCAGAACAATCGAGTGACAATCGCGGGAGAGTTGCAAGATAAATCAGTAGGAAATTGCTATTCGCAATTTCCGTCACAGTAATAATCTAGAGTAGAGCTGTCCCATTCGAAACAGAAAGAAGCGTATTCCCACGAACTGGATTATTGTGACTTGACTGGAGTATTATTCTGAACTGGACTAGAGTGAACCTTCGGTGGAAAGGTGGACAGCTTGAGTGTCCCAATGGTTCACGAGAAACTATAGTCTAGAGTACAAACTTGTTCTTGTTGTTAAAACTGACAAACATTAAACTCATTTTAGTTATATTATTTAATTCTCGAGTTAATTACCGACTGAAGTACTTCCCTTTCTTGAGCGTGCTACAATGTGAGTACTAATTTAAATTTCTAGAGTGTGTTTTATAATTGTTATGTTGAGGTAAGGCGAGTTTTAGGTTGATCCATCTGAAATGGATCAAAGTTCCACTGTCTAATAAAAAATAACTTAACGGATTGTTCCAACCCGGTTTTTAACGGCGTTCATGTATTTTGGGTATCTAGAGACCTAAGTATGAGGACGTTCTTAATTCTAGAGTGGGGGGATATTTTAGTAGTAGCCTTTAAGCTGTAACGAGTCGTAGTCTCATGTCACAAACGAACCGAATTGGCTCCGACTGATTTGAGGTAGAAAAACACAAGAGATAGTGTCCCTGACTCTTGAGCCAATAGTTATAGGGCCTATTTTTCTTAAGCCTCATGTGTGACTGCAGTAGACGAATGTTACATAGTGTTTTTATGGCGCTCCTGGGTGTTTACGACATCAAGACTACGGAGTCGAACCCACTTGAGACAGCTTCGGGCTGAATGCCCATTCTAGAGTACCGGCGGTGCGGTTCGACAGGAACGTGCAAACCTTCCGGTTGTACCGTGATAGCTTTTTAAGAAAACTCGAGAAAACTTCCTGGTACGCTCTCCGAACGAGGCTTAGCTAACCGAGTAAAGGGGGGCAACTAGGGGGACAAAAACACGAGCAAAAGACAAAAAGCAAAACAAAAACAAAAAAAAAGAATAGAAAAAGGAACAAAAACCATAAAACGAAAAAATACAGTGACTTTGACACCAGATTAGTTGGATCAAACCTTTAAATTAATTAAATAGTATACCCATACTGTTTTACAAGCTCGATCGTTTCGATCAACCTAGTAATTTAACCCAGTAACCTTAATAAAGAGCCCGAGTGTGGGGCGTTGTCAAGGGTTTTCAGATAGCTTGGAACTTAGCTGAACCAATAGGAGACTTGACTGGAAGAGGTGAACAGCCGAGTGGGAAAGTGGTTCAGGAGCACTTGAGCTGAACCAATAGGAGACTTGACTGGAAGAGGTGACCAGCCGAGTGGGAAAGTGGTTCAGGAGCACTTGAGCTGAACCAATAGGAGACTGGACTGGAAGAGGTGACCAGTCGAGTGGGAAAGTAGCCAAGAAGGATTTTACTAGTTCTCGAGTTCTCAAGTTGGGCAGAACGGGTATCGTTAAAATTCACATTACATTATAGGAAATAAGTGTAAAATTGGATAAGCGATATCCCTCGGTTTTGAGAAACGTTTTTACTTGAGCAGGCCTGGAGACAGGTCTACGGTTTTCTCTTGAGAGGTTTAGCACCCGGCGCTTAAGGTAATTTTAGGTTTAAGAAGGGGGGCTAAAAAGGGGGGAGGTTAGAAGGGGGCTGGTTAAGTTAGAGGTTGGCGGTTGTAAATTGTAAAAAGGGGGGAAATTAGAGTAACTAATTAGTCGACATCGTTGATTTAGTTACATTAGTCATTTACACGCGTTGGTCATAGGAAGCGGATATCCAAAATTGGAATTAGGTTAAGGTAGGTACCCTGGTCGGATCGGTAGGGGGGAACGGACATAGACAGTTTTTGTGATACCCCATAAGATCGCTAGCAGGGGGGAAGGAAACTCGTGGCAATTAGGTACCAGACATTTTTTCGATAGAAGGTAGACATTTGTCACCTTTGAATTTTAGGTGGGCTCATCTTTCTTTTATTACTTTTTCTAGCTTGGATTTTTGTTGCATTTTGGTAAGGATTTGTGTTTAGTTTTTATACGAACAGGTGATCACAAGATACCTGCGCACAGGTTTTGGTCTCAAGTTGCTTGGAACATTGAAAGAGAGGTAATTAAAAAGAAATAAGAAAAAGGGGGGTCAGCATTTGGCTTTTAAGAGAGGGTTTTTGGGAAAATTTTACTAGAGCCTGAGTGGTGGTACAAGGTACAGTGAATCAAGAAGTCCCCATAACGAAGAAGAAAGAGGTCCCACCGCTCAGACACTTGTCAACAGTCTTGGGACAGTGCCAAAGAAGTCCTGGGACAGTGTTGGACCAGAACAGTCTTGAGACAGTCTTGGGACAGTGGTCTTGGGACAGTGGTCTTGGGACAGTGGTCTTGGGACAGTGGTCTTGGGACAGTGGTCTTGGGACAGTGGTCTTGGGACAAGGGTCTTGGGACAGGGTCTTGGAACAGTGGTCTTGGGACAGTGGTCTTGGGACAAGGGTCTTGGGACAGGGTCTTGGGACAGTGGCCTTGGGACAGTGGTCTTGGGACAGTGGTCTTGGGACAGTGGTCTTGGGACAAGGGTCTTGGGACAGGGTCTTGGGACAGGGTCTTGGGACAGTGGTCTTGGGACAGTGGTCTTGGGACAAGGGTCTTGGGACAGGGTCTTGGGACAAGGGTCTTGGGACAGTGGTCTTGGGACAGTGGTCTTGGGACAAGGGTCTTGGGACAGGGTCTTGGGACAAGGGTCTTGGGACAGTGGTCTTGGGACAGTAGTCTTGGGACACTAGCCTTGGGACAGTAGTCTTGGGACACTAGCCTTGGGACACTAGCCTTGGGACAGTAGTCTTGGGACACTAACCTTGGGACAGTAGTCTTGGGACACTAGCCTTGGGACACTAGCCTTGGGACAGTAGTCTTGGGACACTAGCCTTGGGACAGCAGTCTTGGGACACTGGTCTTGGGACACTAGCCTTGGGACAGTAGCCTTGGGATAGTACTCTCAGGACAAGGGTCTTGGGACACTGACGAAGTACTGGGACAATACCGAACAGTCTTGGGACAGTAGAAAGAAGCCTGGGACGGTACAAAGAAGAGAAGGGACGGTAACTGGAAGTCTTAGGACAGAATAAAAATTGAAGTAAAATTACAACAAGTTGTTTTAAGACAGAATTAAGACAGAACAAGACTAATTGGAACCCGGTACGGTTGGGACCACAAATAAA